CACACACACACACACACACACACACACACACACACACACACACGCTCTATGCTGCTGTCTTTCTCTCTCATAACGCACGTGTAATGTGCATGCGGGCAATGTCGCAGGTTGTAAAAACTGTACGTTCTGCGCACCAAGTACATTTGACATTGAATTGGACTTTGGGAGGGCGAGGGTGATGCGCCAGCAAGGTGATGCTTTGGGAAAAGTGCAAGAGGCAATAGACACATGGTAGGCTCCCGTCTTATCTCTGCTTCACTTGGATCAGTGACTGAGCATAGTCGGGTGAACTTGTGGCAAGGAGAAATGATCGAGAGTATCATAAATTGTAAATTCAAAATGAAAGGATAAAGTGGAAAAGGTCCGAATTTTTTTCTTTCTTTCTTGCTTTTTTTTTTTTTTAAAGAGAAAGCTTCAGTTTTATTATATGTAAATTTGTAAAATGATACTAAAATCACTGAGGCCGGGAATTCTTCAACATCTCAACCCGGACCCAGAGAGTGCTGGGGCCATTACCCAGATTCGCTTGATCTGGAAACCGCGTCCAGCGTCCCTTTATCTGCAACCTTCAACCAAACGGACAGAAGGATGCTTTAACTAATTCAGGAAATTACGATAATGGACCTGACCTCATCTCACCTTCACACGATAAATTATGTTGTTGTTCGGGATGTAATAAACCGTAAAGGAGCTTTTTTTTCACCTCTCTACGAGATGAGATCCTGTTGTGATGTTAATTGTTCTGCCTGCGTTGCAAAGCAACTATTGTGAATCCATGAGCCACCCAAAGTTCTCCACGACATTCGTGGTCGATGTTATCCTCTTCGAAAGATGTGGATTTCTAATTCCTCTGTTCCTCACCCCATGGATGAGTTTCCATTGCCCGAGTAGTAGAATGTTGTGAAGTTTTTGATTTTTTTTTTTTTTACTTTTATTTTTTTAATTAATACGAAGACGTCTATCTTAGATCTGTTGTATTCTGTGAAAGAGCAATCTGTTTCTTATTGCACCAAGCAAACCCAGACAAGAAACATTCATGCCCACTCACATGCTTCCCCTCACTATGGCCCACAAAGCCCCAATAGCTTTGCTTCCCCCCTGACTAGTCCAGTGTGCCCATACACGAATAGATTGGAGCAATATAAAAAAATATAAAAAATAAAAAACCGGCTTGTCTTTTTTTTTTTTTTAAGGGTAACAAAGTTTAAGGTTCTTTTAACTTTGTTACCCTATAATAAAAAAAAAGACAAGCCGTTTTTTTATTTTTTATTTTATTATTATTATTATTATTATTGCTCCAATCTATTCGTGGGAAGCATCACGTGCTGGGAACCGGGCCCAGCGTCGCTTAGAATGGGGAATACATCGATGATTGACAATTGATGAAAATTTGGGATGACTGAGGATCATTTTGGATGATTTAGGATGATTTAGGATGTCAGAGTGGGTGATTGAGGTCATGAAATAGAGCTAGATGATGACTAATCAGAAAGATTGTCTAATCAGCACTGAATTACTATCCTATCCCTAATTTCCTGTATCCATTCCAAACAACCAATCACAATTGGGCCCGTGCTGTGCACCAATCAGGCCTCTTCCCGGGCAGAGTCGAAAGACTCGGAACTTAAGGTGTTCCTCTCAGCCTGCAGTTTCAGACTGCCATATCAACAACAAAGACACAAGAACTTATCTCCTTGTTTTCCCGTCTTCCTGGTATCCAGCTTACCGGCCGGCTTTTCTACACGAAGAGGGCAGTTACAATCAATTGATTGTATCTAAGACTGCCACCTTCCCCCGAATAGAATAGCCAGTAGTTGTCGCTGTAGCTGGCCTGAGAGTTGCCCCAAATACAGTTATTCAGCTATTGTGACTGGGCGTTCTATTCGGGTGAAGACGAGAGAGAGAGAGAGAGAGAGAAGGTGGAGGTAAGGGTGTGTTGGCATTCTCTAGCTGTAGCCTCATTAATAAGTGGGTGGTAGAGGAAGCAAGAATGATTATCAATTATAGAGGCAGGTTCAACTTGTAGATATCGTGCATCCATGTCTATCCGTCTATCCTCGTCCCTTCTCCCAAGAGTGCAAGCTCGCGGTGTGAAAAGTAACTTCTTTTTTTTTTTTTTTTTTTTTTTTTTTTTTTTTTTTTTTTTAATGAAAAGTAACTTCAGTAATGCTGTGTCTGCGAGGTCGATGGTGTGAAATTAGAATGCAGTGCACTGTGCAGTACAGTGTTCGTGTAGTACAGTGATCGACATCGCCGTGGAACATCTTCATTATCTTCTATAAAGCATCATCTTTTGGACGATATCGGATCTGAAGTCTGAACATAGTCCTTGCTCTCTCTGCTGACATCTTGTCTTTGCTTCTGTGTCATTTGTGCGGTCTTTTGGGTGTTCGATGTCTCTGTTGCTGCGCGATGGTCCGACTTCACAGTCCTGTAGATTGCATTCATTGGGTGAGCGCTGCTCAGCTTACTCTTCTGGAGGATGAAATGAGGAGAATGGAGAGAGTCAATGTAAGACAGCTGCTCACCATTATTCCCCTCTCCGTGCCGTCCTGTGTTTGCCCTTTTCTTATAAAATTTCAACACTACCATAGTGTTTTCTCCTTTCCCCGCATCTCCATCTCCTCTCCCCTCCTCTCCTTTTTTTTCACTCCTAATTTCTCCTCCTGTCTCTGCTTTCTCTTTCTGAATTCCGTCCTTTGGTGTGCAGCTTCCTAGCTTTCACATTTTCCGCTGTGTCCTCATTTGCCCCCTAGATGTTCTCCTCTCCTCTCCTCTCCTCTCCTCTCCTCTCCTCTCCTCTCCTCTCCTTTTCTATCCTTTTCTATCCTCTCCTCTCCTGCCCTCTCCTCTTTGCTTTTTCTCTTTCTGAACGTCGTCATTTGTTCCATAGTTTTTTTTTTTTTTTTACTTCTCAGATGCCCTGTGATGTCCTGCCGTCCCCTTTCCTGTCCATTTTTTTTCTCGTCCTGCCTTTTCTCTCTTTCCCAACATGCCTCTTTTTTTTTTTTTTTTTTTTTTTTTTAACACATCCCCTGCAGTGCTAGTGGTGTTGGTTCGAGGAACCAAACACCACTAGCACCCGGGGAGAACTCCTATCATTCCTGGCTTGTCCTATTTCTCACGTCCTGTCTCCTCCCCTTGGATTCCCAATCACACAACTCTTCTTGCTCCAGCCTCGTTCTTTTCCTGCCTTGTCCGAATGCTCACCTTCTGTCTCCTCACCTTGCTTTCCCGTCCACACACCTCTTCTCGCCTCAGCCTCATTGTTCTCCTTTTACACTTTATAGTGAATGAAATTGAGGCCTGTTTCCACGTTGTCCCTTTGCGACCTCTGTTAAAATTGGAATGTTACAGAGAGAGAGAAGATTAGCATGGCCCCTGCGCAAGGATGACGCACATAAATCGAGAAACGGTCCCAAAAAAAAAAAAAAAAAAAAGGAAGAAGAAAAAAAGAAAGTCTGTTCCCAAGAAGTGTGTTGGGTACCTTCCTAACTGAGAGTGGTACATACTCTCTCCTGAATTGTTTTGCGTCCTCCATCCGGGTTGCTGTGCACAACGGTTTTCACATCAGAACACTTAAATTATTTAAATAGTACCGCGCATCCTTCGGGACATCCGTTAAAAAAATCGGAACGATAAAGAGAAGGGTGATTAGCATGGCCCCTGCGCAAGGATGACACACAGAAATCGAGCAATGGTCCAAAAATAAGTAAATAAAATTTATAAATAAATAAATAAATCGCATTATGACATGTTACAGACCAGCAAGTACTTTTATGCGCAAACTTGTCAAACAGCGCACAGCATTATGAGTTTTTTTTTTTTTTTTTTTTTTTTTTCAAACCACACTGCCACGCTAGGAGGGGTGATATGACTCAAACTGAAGAAAGCAACAGTCGGGCATCCAACTCAGTTATAGCATAAAATGTCCCAGCTTCTGAATCACTGCCCGATTTTTTTTATTTTTATTTTTTTTTTTTTTTTTTTTTTTTTTTTTTTTTTTTTTTTAAGCTGTACTCACCTCTGCTGCGTTCTTTTGTCGGCTTCATTTCTTATTTGCCAATTTGCCACTGAATTCAACCTTGTAACTCATTTCTCTCCTGTGTTAATCTTTCTTTCATTTTTCAATTTTTGTTTGTTATGAACCCTCAGGTTGGTCTCATGCTTGCTGGCCAGGGACGCTCTGGCGCGGACGTTTTCCAGTCGGTGAGTTGTGAGCGAATTGTTCCTCCTGTTTGCTTTTCAAAAAACATCGAAGCCGTTTGATTGCAGTTTGGTGTGCAACATGTAATCGTAATAATTTTCATCATATCATTTATGCATGGTTCTCCGATCATTTGCATACTCCGAAGCACACTAGAACTGCGCACAGTACTAAATTACATTTGTGTCCTTTCAAGAGTTCTGAAAGCAGAGCCTCTAGAGAATGCGTGAGTATGCACTGCTATGCAGTACTATGCCCCATGAGGAAAGAGAAATGAAAATGAGCATAGCAATGGAGAATGATGAAAGGACAGGAAGTTGGCTTGTCCCCCTCCTATCTATTTGGGAGGTTGTCTGACTGACTTTCCAGCCCGCGCCAGGTGTTAAGAGCTTGGGTGCTGCTCCCTCCCCCGCACAGAGCACTGAGAGCAGAGTTATGTAGAAGAGGACTGGACCCCCATAATCGTAGGATGGGTTTAACTTAGCCAACTTAGCCCTGGTTAGTACATTTAAGGATGGTCCTACCCCCGTAGCCTGTTCTCCTGTTCGATGGTAGTCTGGTCACGCCTTAAGCTTGGTCTTAGTGGGTAGATTTAGGGTGTAGTGTCGTTGCCCGGTCCTCCCCCGTGCTAGGTAATGTGAGGTAAAAAGAGGGCAAAATATTGAGAGAGAAGAAACTAGCCCACCGTAGTAAAAATGCAGCTTTTCCTTAAAAAAAGCAGCTTTCCCCCATATGAGGAGAAGGCAGCTACATATAAAAGAAGGAAAGGACAAGAAACTCAGGAGAGCTGAATGGTTGTGAGGACATAGAAGGGAAAAAAGCTTGAAAAGTAGAAAGGTGAAACGAAAGCCGAGAACACCGACTGGCCTAGCTCAGTTGGTACACCCCCCCTGGACTGAAGTCACTGAACTGTTGAAAAAAATACAGACCTGATTTCGAACTCCACTGGACGCCAATGAGTAAAACAACTCCGTTCTCTCTTTAACGATTAGTCGAGGGGACGGCCTGAATTACCTAAGGCTGGTCTAAATTACCTAAGGCAGTCCACTGGAGTTCGAACTCAGGTCTGTATTTTTTGTTGAAGGGGAGCGGTCTGAATTACCTAAAAGGCTGGTCGGTTCGATGATGATATCACAAATCTCAAGGCCGTCCCCTTTAACAAAAAGAAAAAGAAAAAGAAAAAGAAATGAAAGCCGAGAATAAAGTGAAGGAAAAAAGAAGAGAAGGAAACGAAAAGGCCATCCCCTTTAACAAAAAGAAAAAGAAAAAGAAAAAGAAAAAGAAAGCCAAGAATAAAGTAAAGGAAAAAAGAAGAGAAGGAAATCAGTCCAAATTACCAAACAAAATTAAGAAAAGGAAATGTGCAGTTAATAGTTAAAGAGAGAATAGGGTAGAGTTTCTCAAGTCACTGTCTAACATGTCGTGGAGAACAGAGACAGCACAGTGTGCTAGTTCCGGATACAAAGCCCAAAAAAAATTGGCGGCCCTGAGTACGAATTCTGATCTGGAGAACCGCCCAGAATAGCTGGACATAAGGTGCGGGAAAAAAAGGCAATCTCAGGTCCCTTTGGCATCAAAAAAGAGGGAAAAGAAGCTCATCACCTACATATAGTTGTTTGTTAGCACAGTAATCAGGCTCTGCCTGTGTACATGGCAATATGCTAATGCGCAACTGTCATCCCATCCATCTTGTTTTGCAGGCGGCCACTAAATGGGACAAGCGACAAGCCCGAGCACTGGTACGTACTACGTATGCGATATGACATGCAGGAGATGATCTTATCACACTGATACTGTGGCCATAAGTACACACACTGATGTTGTTGCATGACGAATGCTGACTCAACTACAGACTGACAAGACTCCTAGTGTGGCTATACATGGAGTCTTGCTTGTTTTTTCTTCTTTCTTCTTCTTCTTCTTCTTCGTCTTCTTCTTCTTGGATTCGCCGACCTTCATGCTGCGTGTTTCGTCGTTTTTAACCGTTCTCTGTTTCGCAAAACAAAGAAGGGCGGTGGGGGAATTCCTTGGCCACAAATTGTCAGCCTTTTTGGCTAAGATCCAGTACAGAATTGGAGCCCTTGTCAATTGGGGCCAGATAATGTTTATCTAGCGTTTTGCGGGGTATGGTGAGGTATATGGGTAAAAGCTTCCATGCCTGCCCCCCTCGAGTTTTGCCTCTGCCGTTGCGCTTCAGCAGAGAGCTAGTGGTGCACCTGCCTCCCCCTCCAGGGGGAGGAGAGGGGCAGTGGGGAACGAAGGAGAGTAGCCCCACTGTCATTGTATTCCTCAGGATTCGACCCTTTGGTGTTATCAACAGCTCAAACTTCAAACATGTGTGTACTACTCAGGATTCGACCCTTTGGTGTTTGTCTATCAACAGCTCAAACTTCAAACATGTGTGTACTATGTAGTACTATGTAGTACTATGTAGTACTGTATATCAGTCACCCACCACTGGCAGACAGGTACTGCTGCCACTCTAGTTCCAACATTTAGCTGTCCAGGGGGAAAGGAAGGGGAGTAGCCCTCGACAAACTTTTTTTTTTTTTTTTTTTTTTTTTTTTTGAGCTTGGAACCTTTTATTCATCAAGATTTGAACGAACGGTCTGTCTATCAGCAGTTACAACCGAGGCTGGGTGTCCGGGCGCCTGGGCGCCCAACTTGTGCCCGGATACATGCTCGGGTGCCGACCAGGCATGAACCTCGGGCAGGGTTCCTGGCAGCAGCCCCAGCGTCCTCCCCCCCCCCAAAAAAAAAAAAATAAAAAAAAATCGAAACATCAAAAAATTCCCAAGGGGAAAAATAAATAAAAATGATGTGTAGAATACTAGAATTCCAACACTGGCTGAGGGCCACATCAGAATTCCGCGCGGAATCGAAGATAAAAGAGAAAACAAACAGGATCAGACTAAGGCACCCCCTTTTAAACCTCTTTAGCCCCTTAATAACCAATTTATACTCCCCTTTCCCCCCTTAATAACCAATTTCTACTCCCCTTCCCCCCACCTCACCCCCTACCCTCTCCCTTTCTTCTACTTCTTCTTTTTTTTTTTTTTTTTTTTTTCAACACCCTCTCGTGCTATACGGCCAACTCTCGAAGGAAGAAAGGAGCCCAGATTTGGGCTCCTAGCCTCCTGCTGGAAACTGGGTCCTCGACCCTGTGTACAGTGTGTACTACTGTGCGCCATTCAGCCACGAGGCGAAGCTTAAAAAATTGACTAGCCAGAGCTAAGCCATCCTAAGGTTATGGGTCTATGACTCTACGCTTACCTCTCTCTGTTCAGTGCGGGGAGCAGTACCCAAGCTCCTAACACCCGGCACAAGCTGGAAAGAACCAACTACTTTCCTAACCAACCAGAATGGTTAGGAAAGTAGTTGGTTCTCTCTGTTCAGTACGGGGAGCTAAGCCATCTAAAGGTTATGGGTCTACGCTTACCTCTCTCTGTTCAGTGCGGGGAGCAGTACCCAAGCCAACAATCTCCGCTGGTGAACCCGAAGCAGACCCCCAGGAGGCCGAAGGGATGGAAAGGACAACGCTGGGAATCGAACCTACAACCTCCTGAGTGCTAGTTACATGCTCAACCAACTGAGCTAGCCCGCTTGGGCTCTCGATGCAGGTATTCATAAATTGTTCCTGATTTAAAATTTAAATGCATCTCATCTCTCTCTCTCTCTCTCTCTCTCTCTCTCTCTCTCTCTCTCTCTCTCTCTCTCTCTCCCCGGTTGCTTATATCTCATCATTCTCATGCGAACTGTTTGTTCTCATGAGCTTCTTGCATACCCATCGGCCTAAGGCCATTTGTAAAATCGCTCCCAGAGTCTCATCGCCTTTATTGGCTCCTGCATGATGACAGCTTTACGATTTTGGTTTCTTCAAAAAAACGGTCCCCCCGCTAGAGGAAGTGATAAGACCATCCGCCTCTAGCGAGCTTCCTGGTTGCTCCGACCTATTAGTGGGGAGCAGCACCTGCTGGAATTAAAAAAAAAAAAAAAAAAGAGAGAAAAAAAAAAAAAGAAAGAAAAGAACGATTTTGGTTTCTTTCTTGCGAATAAGAGGGTGCATGTGTTTCTGAAGCTGCAACATCAGATGCACAATTGCTCCTGATAACAGCGGCAATCGTTTTGCTATCCCCTCCCCTGCCACCTTCATTTCGTGGCATCTCTAAATCTCCACAGTGCAACTCGTTTCTGATTTATTGCATTTAGGTGCTGACAGTCTGGCATCCATAAGATGTGGCCCTATCAGTTCATTCATGGTAGCTAGTGAGTGTTTTTTTTTTTAATTTTAATTTAATTTATTTTAAAATTTGAATCAATTTAATGATTTTATTTTATTTTATTTGATTTGATTTGATTTGATTTTGTTTTATTTTTATTTTGGTTGTAAAATTTAAGAACTTCGAAAATGTGTGTTGAAAACTGAAATGCCTTTCATCTCTTTGTAGAAGATTCTGACTCTCTCCTACCCATGTGCTTCAGTGAAGCTTTTTTTTTTTTTTTTTTTTTTTTTTTTTTTTTTTTTTTTCTTTTTTTTTTTTTTTTTTTTTTTTTTTTTTTTTGTATTTTTTTTTTTTTTTTTTTTTTTTTTTAATCAGTGAATCATTTGAACTGGTAGCAAATTAGTAATTAAAAAATAAATAAATAGAACCCGGGGGAACAGGAGCCAGGGTAGGAGGGGTGCAGCCTCTGACATGATTTAAATCTATCCGATTCTGATTCGTCCCTCGGATCTGTTTGTTATACATGTGTGTATCATTCAACCACATGGGCTGGTCAGGTGAGCCGTAAACTCATCGAGTCATTGGTGAGCTCAGTTGGTAAACTCATGAGCTGTTCAAATAATAGACCCCACCCAGAGTGGGTGGGGTCCATTTGTATGTTTATTTCATGTCACCCCATTTTTTGACTGGCCGAATGAGACCCCAGAGTGGGTGGGGTCCATTTGCATGTTTATTTTGACTTGTTTTCTAACGGGATGGGCTGGATCCGCAATCTAAGCAGCCTACAGTATCATTTAACCGAAAGGATGACTGAAAAGATCGTACGAAAGATGCCCCGCTGTTTATTTTGACTTGTTTTCTAACGGGATGTCGTATGAAAGAAGGGACAAGGAGGGAAGGAATGTCATACGAAAGATGCCCCGCTGCTGCAAACTAAGCAGCCTACAGTATCATTTAACCGAAAGGATGACCGAAAAGAATAAATAGAAAAAACACCAGGAACTGCTCATTTGGCCGTGTAGAGTAAACCATGTATCTATCTATCTGGGTGGCGGCCTTAACTCTTGGAACTTGGCTACGTAGTGAACCTATCTGGGCCTTGGGAACAAATGAAAGGGTTACGGTTTTACCTTTGCTTATGCAGAAAGGTTAGTCTGTGTGTGAAACCGTTTACAATCTGGGTGTGAAACCATGTACACACAGAGAGCAACCTGTGTGTGAAACCATGTACACCATTAACACCATTGACAATGTGTGTGTGAAACCATTTACACCATTTACACCATTAACAATGTGTGTGTGTGTGAAAGCATTTACACCATTTACACCATGAACAATGTGTGTGTGTGAAAGCATTTACACCATTAACAATGTGTGAGTGAAAGCATTTACACAATTAACAATGTGTGTGTGTGTGAAACCATTTACACCATTTACACCATGAACAATGTGTGTGTGTTAATGTGTGTGTGAAAGCAGTTACAATTTGTGAGTAAAACCATTTACAATCTGTGTGTAAAACCATTTGCACCAGAGATGGCATTCATCAGTTACACTCATTGTTCATTGTGAAAGAAACAATAAACCATTTAAATCAACTGGGGACATCCTTTAAAACTTAAAATTGGAACGATGCAGAGAAGATTAACATGGCCCCTGCGGAAGGAAGACACACACAAATCGAGAAAAAATGGGGTCTGAATGGTCACACACACACACACACACACACACAAAAAAAAAAAANAATAAAGTTGAATAAACCATTTACAATCTGTGTGTAAATTTGTAAAAGCATTTGCAACAAAGATGTCAGTCATCGGTTACTCATCGTTCACTGTGAATAATAAACCATTTAAATCTGTTTGGGACATCCGTTAAAATTGGAACGATAGTACGATACAGAGAAAGAGAAGATTAGCATGGCCCCTGCGCAAGGATGACTCGCGCATAACCATTCCATTTACAATCTGTGTAAAACCATTTCCAACCTGCGTGTAAATGTGTAACATGATGTTAACTTCATTTGCAACAGAGATGTCATTCATCAATTACTCATCATTCACTGTGAAGTTGTGAACAAAACAATGTGTTCGAAGTCAGCTTCATGCTTCTCTGCTTCTTGGTCGTCGTGACAACAGGAACGGGCTGCAAGGGAAGCTGCAAAGGCAAAGGCAAAGTCAAAAGGAGAGAAAAAGCGGAGCTGGTGGGAGTTCACGACAACAGTTGAGGAGGAAGATGGAGGGAGAGCAGCTTATGAAAGCAAGGAGAAACGGTATGTACTATGTTATCATAGTGGCTTACAGATATCCTACCCCAATGAAAACGCATCATCTGGACCTGCCCGTCCGATCCTCATCGCCTGCCCATTTCTGCCCCCCCCCTTCCCTTTTCCATCGGCTTCTTACTCGCGACAATCCTTCCTAAAAGTTGGTTATTTCATTTTTCAAGTTGAAACTTGAAACTTGAAACTATCCAGTCAGTGAAGGAGGGTAAATTGGTAATTGTTCTCTGTTGCCACCTTGCCCTCAGTAAAGGAGGGTAAATTGATAACTGATTCTACGTTGTGAATGTCTGATGACCGATGTCGCTTCTGATTTTGGATTTGTGACCCCCATCAGTATTGTATACAACTGATTATGGTACTGAACCTACTGATAGCATTAGGATTCGAACTGCTGACCTATTCATTAACAGCTGCATCTGGGTAGGAGTGTGTACCAAAAAAAAAATGATAGCAGTAGGTTCATTAGCAGCAACATCTGTGTGGTAGCGTGTACGGAGAAAAAAAAGTAAAAAAACTTTAAAAAAGTAAAAAAAAGTGTGTAGCACTGGCTGCAGTGTACCATTCAGCCGCATGGGCTGCGTATCATTTGATCGAATCTGAAACGGAATATCATATACGCGGTCGAGCATCTAGGGTTTTTTCTGCCCCTACCTTCTTATCCCGAATACAACGTACGGTCATTACAGCTGTATCTAGACTGAAAGATGCCTCAAATGCAGCTATAATGACCTTACGCTGTATTCGGGGGAAGAAGGTAGTCTTTACTCATTAATGTGGGTTCCAGGTTCAGTGAGGAGAGCAGTCCATCCCCATGTCTTCTACCGAGTTCTACGGCAAGCATGAGGTATGCGAGACTTCTTTCCTTTTCTTTTCTTTTCTTTTTTTCTTTTTCTTTTTTTTTAAGGCAGGACTTCTTTCCTTTTCTTTTTTCTTTTTATTTTCTAGTGATTACTACAAGATGAGGAGGTGTCGCGTACGCCGGGAACCACTGCTGCCCCGGGCGTTGTCCTAGAAAAAACATACTAGAAACGTAGTGGCACCCCAGATCGAGTACTGGTTGGGCCATGGTTTGTCCCACAGGTAGAAATTCGGCCATTATATAATGTCCGGTGCTTTCTTGTCCTATAGGTATTATTTGACTTGCTTCCTGCGGTAGCCTCTGGCGGCTCTGGTCTTCCAGTTTATGGATTTTTTCAGAATCTCACAATTGAATGTGTCGTTGGCAATTCTTTTGTCTGAAGGAAAACGGCTATGGAGAGGGCAGTTGCAGCAGCGGAAGCAGCCAGGCGATGGAGGGAGTATTCACGCGCTGGACTCGACAGACGTACCCGAAGGGCACTTCCTTCCATGACACAAGCAGATGAGGGGGATGCAGAGAGATAAAAAAAAATAAAAATAAAAAAAAAGAACCCAGGAGGAGAAGTTGCCCTGCTCTGATGTTTACCCTTGGGCGCTAACCCTCTCTCTCTCTCTCTCTCTCTCTCTCTCTCTCTCTCTCTCTCTCTCTCTCTCTCTCTCTCTCTCTCTCTCTCTCTCTCTCTCTCTCTC